ATCAGGGGGATCATAAAAATGAATATTTCTCAGACCTTTGTTTGCCAAAATGTCAGTAGCTGTGTTTTGCCTCAGTGTGAGCAGCTTGATAATGTCCTCAGCTACAGCTCCCAATAGTGTAGTTCTAACAACAGCTTCTCTTATGAGAATTATTAAATATCTTGTGTTGAGGTTTTTATCTGTTGTTCAAAATTTGTGAAGGCTATAATCCAATTAGGACAGTGCTTTCTGATGTATATGAGACGAGTAGGTAATGAAGGTTAATAAAACAGTGTCAAAGGAACTAAACACAATTGCTTTTTTCCATGCAATTGAGGATGTTGTATTATTTTCTGATTGTGTATTCTTGATGTTTGCGTGCATTCTTCTATCCTAAGTTCAGAATACTAATTTTTTTTTTCAATGGATAAATTTGTTAAAGCTGCATATTTCTTTTGTTTTTCTTTTGTAACTAGCATCACTGTAAGAAACTAAATCGTTTGACCCTCAGAGTTTTCTTTGATCACGATGCCACAATAATACATTGGTGCTCTCTTATGCTCATGTATTGAAAAGACTCTTATAATTCTGGTTTTACAGTGAATGCCTGCATGCTGTGAGGTGTAAATCTTTTATATTTCATAGAAATATTTGTCTTATCTTTGCTATTGCAATATGCCAAGCCAACGTCATACCTTGGCAAAATTTACTAGCATACAAAAATACTTGCCTTCTTTCAGTAACTTATATCCGCTGATGGTGTTTTAATTACAATTATATGCAGCTTCAGAGTTTGCCCCAGATTTCACTATCATTTCAGCTGGATTTGATGCTGCAAGGGGTGATCCTCTTGGCTGCTGTGATGTAAGGGATTTTCTTCACTAAAATGTCTTCGTTTTTGTTTGAATAGAATTGGTATTCTACAATTTCCGGAAGAGCTATTTTGGTTGGTCTTTAGCTTTGCCAGTTGTCCTGTTATTTGAGCTAGCATTGCCCAGTTTGCAAATCATCTGAAGTTTTCACTTGATTATATTGGGGTAAAAAATGCTTGTCATTTGGTTTTTGCTTTCAAACAAATAATAAGCCCCTGTTTGGTGACCTTTTTTTTTGGGAAAAACATTGTTTTAAATAGTGATTTTTTGGAGAATGTGCGGTTAAAAAGTGGGGAATTTTTTTGGATTTACGTGTAGAATATTTTATTGTGTGAATGTGGTTGAAAATGAGTATCTAGAAAAAAGAGTTATTGAAGGAATGGGAGACAAACAGGGGCTAAATGTCACGTTCCAGCATTGCAATATTTTTTCTGCGCACCCCCCCCCCCC